CAACTCTTTAAAAATCTACCAAAGTTTCCTTCTTCTTTTTTTTGTTGGTTCCCTAAAATATAGGAATCAACATTTGTTAATTGTTTATGCTAGGTGGCTTTTACGAGGTTAGCATGAGATAGAATTATCCCTGTCAAGAGTCACTCTAGCACTAGAAAACAAACATTAGACCAATCCTGTCAACCAGCCCAATGGCTGCTGAGACATGCAATATCGAGGGAGACTGGAATAGTTAGTCATGGGAATTTACGTAATTGATCAGTTGAGTGATGATTGATGAACTTACTATAAGATACACGATGGATGAGACGTAAATAGTCTTGCATCGACCCATGTATGAATCAGCAACAAGACCACCTAACAATGGGAAGATTGAAGATACACCAATCCAGACGTTGACATTCTTGGCAGCCACTGCTGTGGGCTGGTGTAGAACATCTGTGAGGTAGTTGATAAGATTTCCAGCGACACCATAATAGGAGAATCTCTCAGCCACCTCCAGACCTGCAATAATTTGAACAAGAAACTAACTTTTAGGAGCAATACACCAAGAAGGAGAAGAAGCAAAGAAGAAATCAGGGCGGAGGAAATTTGGATAAAGAGATGATTAGACGTTTTTGGAGGGTTACTAACAGATCATGAAAATAGCAGCTTTCCAACCTCCTCCCTTGGAAGATTTTGGTTCGGAGGACATATTCACTACTTCAAAACGCTAATAGGAGTTTTTTTTTTTCCTTCGAAAAAGACTGGAATATGAAGTTCGCTAGCTTGGGTTGGGGTGCACACTTTCGGAGTATCTTGGACAGCATTTATACACGTGAGTTTAAGGAAGAGTACTATTGATTGTGCATTACCTGCAAGACGTTATGGTAACCTATCTTGTCAAAAAAACTGTTCTAGCTTCCCTCCCAAATATTTTTGGTAATCAGTGCCAATTAGAAAAACTATAAACAACAAAATATAAAGCCTGGATTAATTAATGGCACCGGATTAAGAAATTCAACACAGAATTTTCCTAGAGCAATATGAAGAAATTCTCCCTAAAACCATTTTCAAAGAATTTCGTTTTGATTTGAAGAAAAGAAGAATGAGAAGTACTTTAGCCGATGTATGATGCCTTATGTTTATAATAAGTAATAAGACACTCTTTTCATCTTTCACAAGCTTTCCTAGTGTTGGACTCATATCACTATATATATATATATCCAATAGTGCCAATATATATATATATATATATATATATATATATATATATATATATATATATATCCAATAGTGCCACCTGAATCTACGGTAATACATCAATGGTTCTTATCCAAAAGTGTTAGTTTCTTTTTCTTTATTTTGGTGCATCTAAGGAATTAATGGACCATCAACTAAGTACAAAACGTGGCAAAGCAACAACTTCACTACTATCACAGACCCAACAAGCGTACGTGATTCACTGATTGTTCTTTTCTTTTATAAGTGATTCTTTTGAATAACACTTTCCTTTCTTTCTCCTCGATGCAGTTGTTGATGAATTCACAAGTTGTCAGTGATTTGAACTGTTTTCTCCTTAAGTAAATGCTAATCCTATTTATCTCACCGCCATAGAGATTTTCATGATCTCTAGCCGGCTAGCACGTATACAAGACAACTTCTCAATTTCCTATTTTGGATGCAATCATATAATTCATCAGTGTGGTGTAACATAAGGAGAAGACGGTTTCGATCACCAAATTGTGAGTTACACGTATTCTTTAACTTACAAGTTCATTCTGTCCCCGAAAAAAATACCGGAGAAAGAAAAGGTTCATCCCACGCATTCGGGCTCTGGTTGCACCTTATTTAGAAGGCGTATTGCTTCTCTCTTCAATCCCTAGCGAGCAAATTACCCGAGTAGTCAGTAAACTTTTTGAATAGTATAGTTTTGGTAATTCAACTTTTAAAAGTATGTATTTACCCATGAAAGTATTAAATTTGTAAATTTTGACCCATTTTGTCTGTTTCCCCCGTTAAGTCTACCTGATTTGGACTTAACGGTAGAAACTAACGAAATGACCCAAAATTTATCCTTTTAATAATTTAGGGAGTAATTTCATACTCTTAAAAGTTAAATAACTAAAACTCTACCATTCGAAAAGTTTAGTGACTATCCGAGTAATTTACTCAGTCCCAAACTCGACTAAGGCGTCAACTATTGATTGTACAATTAACTGCGCCTTCATATATCCACCCCAAGGAAGAGGCGTGTTCTCATTGTTGTACGGCTACACCAGTTCACTAACTTTTAGTGCAGAGGCACTGCATCAAGAAAATGAAAGCTCTTTCATGCATTCACAGTCATATCTCCTACAAGGAGGCAGTTGTTACATGTTATTATTTCTCGCCTTGTTCACAGCACCAGGACAAAGGCGTGATGGATCAATCATATAAATGAACGCCTTCAACGGAAAACCCAAGAAGGCGTGAGGAATCATAAGCTATATTGGGCTCTTGGCAGGTACAATGTTATGGTATCTATGTCAAGCGAAGGTTTAAGACTCCAATAAAGTGACCATAAGGGGACTAATACTTAGTATAAAGGTAAGATTTTCTGTTCAACTGTATTTTCTATTCCTGTCCATTTTGTGAACGTTACTCTTCAACTATGAATTATTCTTTAGCAATATTTTCAACTATTCTTTTCCCAGACTTCTCCCCTTTTTCCTATTCATTGGAGGGCTTAAGCACAAGACTACAATTTAGCAGAATTTGGATGTAAAGCTTACCAAATAAAAAGATTTTGGACTTAAAATTTTTTTTTATCAAATTTCTATTCATTTTCCTACCAAAAAAGGGTTTCGGATTAATAAGAAATTGGAGTTTATTGATTTCAAATCCACTGTACAGTGTACATTATTAAATCTCTCCTTAGATCCAAATCCAACACCGAAATATGGACCATTAATACATTAAACTGTACCATAATCTCTGGTCTCTGACTCACTTGGTGGCTTTCCAAGATTTGAGGTCTGCTAGTCCGGCTGTCACCACTAGAATGCTAAGGTAGGGCAGATCTGATGGTCTGATTTATAATCCTGCTCATGTGAGCTATTTATATCCTGGTTTTCTTTTAGTGCTTTTAAGGGAGATGTCGAGCCTAACAGGAGGAAATAGGAATGGAGGGAGCTTAAAATGTGCAGAAATGACCTTATAGTTACTAGATTAATGATTTTAAGAATTGCTGGAGTGCTCTAACAAAAGTATTTAAGATTTAACATAAAATTAATTGCATAAGTTACCAGTTACATGGGGAGGAAAACGCAAGGGTTTTGGAGTAATTGGCAATGGAATGATATTTTGGAATCGAAATGTTAGTAACCTATGTCCAGTGACGGAGCCGGGATTTTTTTTTGGGGTTGGCCAAAATTTTTTTCTAATAAAATTATCTTAATATATTATGCTCAAAATAATTTTCTTGTATTTAAATGTATGACATCTAAAAATATCAAATATTAAATTTAATTATAAATGTATGTCTATTCATAAATATGCGGTACAGTCATAACAAAAATTAACAAAAAAGATAACATTTGATTAAATATCTTATAACATCACAAACCATCCAATTTGCACATTATGAGAAGATGCTCTCAAATATGAAGGGCATTACAGTCTTTATAGATGTATTTAGGCTCGACAGAGTTTTTCCATTTTGTATCTTGATTCAAAATGAATGTTCTAAGAAAACTATTTATCTTGATTGTTACCAACTGCTATCTCCTTTCACTTCTGCTTATTTTTACCTCATAAGAGGAGAGACCTGCCCAAAATGCACGCTGTAGAGTCATAAAATTTCTTGCCATAATTCATTGCTTAGAATCTTAAAAATTCAACTAGAAAAGGGATTTCAAAAGCAATCTTATAAAGCAATCTCTTTTCTCCCGTATAACTAAGTTTTGGAATTTTAAAGATGTAACGCGTAAAAATTTTCAAATAATTTTTTTGTCAATCAAATGAATTTCACTGCTTGTTCTAATTCTAATAGTTCCAAAGAAACCACTTTAGATCCAATTGGATGTGGTCAAATAATTTCTTCATTTTTTCCCCTTTTTTGGGTTACTATCATCAGAAATTGTTGAGCATCAAATATATGTTTTTGGATTATTTTTTCAATGCATTGATTATGGACCAGTAAATGCATTAAAATATTTCTCTACTCTACAGAAAGATCCCTTATAACAAATTCATTAACCAAAGAGAGAGAGAGAGAGAGCAGTTAATCAACCACATCCATCCTTCAGGAAAAAAAAAAAAATTTAAAACAAAACCCACCCAATTATCAAAACCTGCCCAAAATCTTTCCAGTCCTGGCAGCCTTCCCAAAGCAGCTCAAGCCCACAAGCCCGCTGCATTCGACTCGAACCCATCGGCTCCCCCTGCCGCGATACCTTCTTTCTGCTTGAGGAAGCATCAGTCGCCCTTTGGCTTCGCTGCCACCGGCTTGCTGTTCTTTTGGAGGAGACAAGATAGGCCTACAGATTGGTATGGGATTAGTTTCTTACTGTTTTTGACGTATATTTATTCCATTGATTTTACTCTGTCTTGGCAAAGAGACTGTAATGCCCTTCATATTTGGTCTGGTTTCTCACGAGATGATGCTCCCCGTCATAATTAACTGTTGGATTTGACAGAAGGACCACTAATATGCTGTTTTATTAGATCGAGGGTCAAACCTTTATCTTTAATTATTGGAGGGTTAAAACTTTACCTGGGAAAGAATTGGAGGGACATTGGGACTCTTTTCCCTTGTTTCTATAATTTTCTATTTTATTCTTTGACAAGTAAAAAAGTGTTAGTGGAATTAACCTCTTTTAGTTGTGCAGAACTAATGAGTAAGATGTAGTATTGCAGGCCGACAAGTTAGAGAACTTGATGCATTGAGATATTGATTGTTGATTCTTCAGCAGAGATCTAAATCACTTTCAAAAAAAAAAAAAAAAAAAGGAGATTTGATTGTAGTTCAACCACATGAATAAGTTCACATCCTGATTTGGATGGTCTGCTCATATTTTGCATTATCGAATTATGTACATTGTTAACCATACGTAACAATTGTACGTGCAACTGCATAAAAGCATAGCTAAATTAGTTTATCTTCTGGGGACGCAAAAAACATTGTAACCATTCAAGATCGATTAATTCTCATAAGTGACATGAAATCTTGTGCGTCTTTTTCTGCCATGCTTGTTGGAAGGTACAATTTTTGTCAACTCAATTCCTTCTCCTACTGGAATGGTGACAGACTCGCAGTAAACTCCATCTTTGGCCTTGAGTATCTCTCGCAGTGACTCCCTTTTTTTACCATTGATGAAAAGATTGGTCATTACCATCAAAGATCCCTTTGAATTCAAATCAGCAGTCTTCAATAATTTCAAGTGATCTCCAACCTTTGAGTCAACAACCATGAAGTCAATTTTCTTGAACTGTTTAATAATTTCACAAGGATTTCCTGCAACAATATGTATTACGTCTTTGAGATGATCACAGCCATTAAGCTGATGATGCGTGCAGATAGATTTGTTGATATCTTCTTCATCATCATGATCATGAGGGATTATGCAAACAAATTTGCCTCCTATCTGTCTTGCAGCTACGGCCAATGCAAGTGTTACTGGCGTCACTCCCTCTGTGGTTATTTGAACTATTAGTTTAGCACAGTTTCCAGCTGCCAAAGCTGATAAAAACTCCATGATCTTAGGCTCCTCAAATTCTGGACTTCCTCTAGTGCTAGTTCGATCAGAATAGTTCTTACGCTGCAAGAAGTTGGAAGAAAAATGTCAGATAAATCTTCAAAACGCAATTTTTTGCTGAGATTTATTACCACAATACAGCATTAGTTACTTCATCATAGTCTAGAAACAAACATGCATATTTTGGGATTAGAGCAGATTTTATGTATACTATTGCGTAAGATTTGCATTAATCTCTGGGGTTTTCAGTGATCAGATGTACAAAACCCACGGTTATAACTAATGAAACAGCACCGAAATAAACATTTAAGGATCCGACAAAAGAGCAAAGGAAAGCAAGAAACGGGATTTTACCAGATGTAAAGTCTTCAAGTAAGCATTCATGGCATGTTCAGGACACCACTCCATCATGGAAAAAGCAGTAAAATGTCTACAGAGGACTGGCAGCTGTTCGTTCGAGGAAATCCAGGCTTCAAAGATATTAGGTAAGGAAGGACCGAAGGTAACTTACGCATATATAAAGTCAATTTTCGTTTGTGACTTCATGAAAGATTGTCAAAGTTTCCTATAGTTCAAGGACACTTGGCACTTTGCAGAATGAGGGGAAGAAAAGTTGCATGGGAGCTGATTCGTGGCGTCACTTGAGCAATTCACGTGAGCTGCTGATGACACAGAATTCAGAAGAATTTTATAATTTCTAGGTCAACTTGACAGTGATGTAGCCAGGACACCTGGAATGCTAACAGTTGCATGTAATGTCATGCAAGTTTGGGGCGGTCCACGTAAGCGGATCTTCTTTTCTATGATTAATGTCGTGTCACGTGTAATAAGATTATTTCATTTGGGCAGAGAATTTATTTTTTAAGAAAAAATATTGAGTGAGTTCGATTTTGAGAAAGTAGTATATGCTTAGAGAATCTCTATTCACTCGGTAGTTTGCTAATTTTTTTAGAAATTTGATGTGCAAATGGGAATGTGTTTTGCAGCCCCATATTTTAGTATATGCTTAATGATGTAAAAGCTTCCCCACCCCCATATTTTAGTTATTGATTGATTCATTCTTTCTGGGGCTGTAGTTCGTGCCAAGAAAAGGTAACTGTAAACGACTTCTTGATCTCTATTCAGGGAAAATATGACCCTTTTGAGCGCATTGTCCTTCTGCAAAGCATTATTGTACACCTTTTTTTGGACCAAAAAGAGTTTCTCATTCTGATGCTCAAATTTACATAGTCTAAGATGAACAAGAATGCATATCAGATGTCATCTTTCAATCTAGCAGAGGAAGGGATGTTACAGTTCAAAATTGATGGTACATTTCCTATATAACTTGCTTAAACTACATTTGGATTTACAAGGATTTTGCTGCATCTTTGAGTTGATCTCATTTATGTTATGCTTTACAATGGGGCAGTCCTAGGCCCCCATCTACTCGATATCTTTTACAGCATCCTGCACCAGAAGCAAAATAAACAGAATTGCCAGAGTCAATCTAGTACAAAGAGAAGCAAACACCAATGATCAAGCCAAGGACAATTTCATCATAAGCACCTGGCTTGCAATTCGCTTACCTTTGCTAACCGGGTAACGTAAGTGGCAGCTAATGCAGTGAATAGCAGCCCCAATCCGAGTGTTAGCAGCTGTCCATTTCCTCCCAGTAAACCAGCATCAGATTCATCTTGCTGAAAGGTCAGAATTAAGAAGAAGAAGAATGAGCAAATCTAACAGCATGATCAAGCATTTAGAAGCAGATTGTTGGTATGGCTTCGTATATGATCTAGATATCGCAAAATTAAGACGTATCAGATCAATTTAACATAAAAGGGGATTCTCTACCAAACTTATGAAGAAATCAATTAACAAAAAGTGAACCAAAAACATAATCAGTTTAACGTATGTTTATAAGAACTAAATTGAATAGTGGAAAAATTTGGCAAATCCAAACCTACAGTGACCATGATCAGAAAGGCTACGCACACTATTAAGCATGGGTCTTGGGTCAATTCTGATTCCAACATGTCATAATGCATGTACATGCTTGGCCAAGATATCAGCCAGCACATCAACAGGCTTTGGTTGAATAGAGATTTACTAAATCAATCCCCTGTTTGATAGCTGAAACAAGTGAACGAGATTCTCATTTAACAAGATTATTACATTATTGGTTGAGATCTGACTCGGTTTCAAGAACTAACCACTATTGCTTGTTCTAGCTTCTGAGAGTTCGAATTAATTGAAAATCACCAGATATGAAAAAACAGGTCAAGTACTTCACCACAACGCTCAAGTAAATCATAATCAGGAAATATAGGTAAAAGCAAAGGGAAAGCAGACATTTTTTCTGAGATGGTTCAGTCATAACTTACAATAATTGCTCGACCAAACGCACCAGCACTAACATAAGCCCAAGTTCCAGGGAGCATTCCCAACCAACTGCACACAGATAGTAGTTGAAGCCGCATTAGTTGGAAGCTATTTATCAAAGAATGAAATAGTACAGTACACTCTTCAAACTTGCACGCCCTTGTTTTTGCCACTCTCACACAAACTACCATCCAGCTTTATCTTGACGTATTATTTTCAATGTAGAAATTTAGCTCTTTGATAAAAAAGCTCTATGTAGTTGATCATTGTCAACGTGAGAACAAATTTCAAAATTTAAATGTAACTAATGCCAATATAGCAACTCCCTTTGTTTATCAATAATATATTTATTTCTTCTTTGATTCCTTAACTGGAAAATCAAGAAAAAGGTCACCTAGTTTTTTATTTTCTTCCCCTCATAAGATCCCAAATTCCAAACAGGGCCAAACATGACAAATCGACGAAGGTGACTTAATGATGTGAAGTTCAAAGATCTAGTTCAACCCGATTTGAGAATTCATCTCTTTTTTTATCCCCAAAAATTTTAAGGTTTAATCATCCATGCTCAATGACCCAGCGGTCAGGAAAATGATTGACCAAACAAAATTGTTATCAGTATTTTTCAAAGATTCTGGAACCAGACAATTCAAGTAAAAGATCAAGATACATAAAAAGTTAAAAAATAATAATAAAAACATATCCAATCCAGTAAACATGCTCAATAAACACTGTAATCTAGAAAAGCATTCTTTATAACCTCCAAGAATTTGCACATCCCTATGTTTCTGGCCAATATGCATATTTATGAACTTTTACAAGGCATGATGCTATACGTCCATCTTTGGGGTCAAGCATGATGATCCACAAAAAATGCTTACAATTCGCAAATATTTTGATGAAAAAGATATCAAATGTCAAACGGAATTTAACATAGAAACAGAGTTGATTAACCAAAAATGGGTAAACTTAACAAAACAATCCATAAACTTAACAAAAAAATCCATATGTTATATCTGTAACACATTAGAAACTCATTCATAAATTTATACATCTAAATCTCACCTTCCCAATACGTAAGGCACAAATTTGACAGAAGTAAGTCCATAGAGATAATTCCCAAGAGAAAATGGTAATAAAGGGCTCAAACGGAGAAGAGTGACAACTTTGAAACCATTTTCCCCAATTGCTTTGTCAATTGCAAGAAATTTCTTGTTCCCTTCAACCAGCTTAAGAATGCGTTCACGAGCAAAATATCTGGCAATTAGGAAGGCAACACTTGCTGCCACCTAAAAGAGGGAGGAAAATACACTTTAATTTTGAAGACCTGTTTTTATTCTTTCAATGGAAAAACCAGCTTACCGTTCCACTTATAGAGACAATGATTGTCCCAATCAGAGAGCCAAATAGAAGACCAGCTGACATAGTCAGCGGAATAGCAGGTATTGCAAGGACCTGCCATGAGCATAATTCTCTGTAATCAGTATAGAACGACTAGTGAGTTTTAATGAGTAACTTACTCTAGAGATAATTGAATCCGAAACATGCTGGTAAATGCAGGGTAAAACATATAGAAAGATCAATATTGCCATCAAGAAAAGAAAACTTTTTTCTTTGGCTGAGCAAATGTTAACTTTTAATTAATGAACAAAGTAAGTCTGTACAAAGGTCAGCAGACTTAATTACATCAGAGAAGCGCTATATTATATGCAAAGCAAAGAAACTTAGTTACTAAAACATAAAAAAGGTAAACCTATCTCAATAGCTAAATCCTAATGTGGCCTTGTTCTAGGAATTTTCACCCTTCCTACCACAATAACACAAAAAGAAATCTTAGCCAAATCATTTTCTTAGATTCCATTTTCAAATGCAATAGCAAAGTTAATTGCTTCAAAGTTAACTACTGCATCTATCAGTATTGAAAAGAAATTCTGTTGAAATCACAGAAAATTATACACCAAATGCAAAAGATTCAGCAACTAATAAAAAGCAGCAAATTCTGACTCCATATCCTCTCTAAGGTGGAATAAATAATTTTCTTACAAAGAACAGCCGTATAAGTGATAGAACTCCATAATCCATGAAAAAAATAGGAAATGTAAACCAGTTATTAGCATAGATAGCTTTGTGTTAACTCAATGAACTCAAGAAAGAGAAGTCAAACTTACTTCCAAACCAGCATAGACCAATACAAAAAGAGCATATCCAGCTGGCCCATAGTCTGCTCAGAATAGAAAAGTTAAAGGAATTCATGGGGCCAAACAAAAGTAATTTACTATTTCATGCAGAGAAAACAACTACAGAAGCTATTAATCTTCCTGGTCAAACTTTAAATACCTTCCAAGAGTTGTGGCATTACTGCAGCAAACAAAACATAACACCCAAAAGGAAGTTGCAAGTACTATACAATCAGACCCGATATATACATATGCAACATATAAGCAATACGGTCTACTATTAATCTATATCTCAACCCAAATTAGCCAAACTGGTCTTTTTCTTGAATCCTCTGATTAAAGAGTTCACCTGCTTCACTGGTATGAGATAACCCAAAGGACTATTGTTCTTCTAGGTCTCTCAGTCAAAGAAGGAAAACCTTTTGCGAAGATAGTAATTAACAAACTATTAATGACAAGAACAACAAATCCCGATGTATACCATTCTATTATCACGCTGCTTAGTACAGTCAATTCAGGTGTTTGGCATGGTAGCAAGATAAGAACTAGGACAAATTATATTTATGAGGATGACCAAAGGAAATGAAATTCTCAGCTAGGTTACAAAGGATGGAATAAGAGCTAGGAATAGCCCTTATCCCCATGATGAAGGGAAACATCCTTGAGAACTTAATGTAAAATCTCAGTGTCACCAAATTATACTAAGCAAATTATATTATGCTAATGGCAGCTCCATTATTATGCTAATGCCAGCTATAGAACTTAGTACTGAACTTTCAGTAAAGGTAAATTGTCAACATGATACTCAACATATCTAGCACCAGTTAACTTTGTCTAGCAAACCAGAGAAAATTCATAGAAAAATCCGGGGCTGAAAAGGTCTGAAAAAGTGTAAAAGTGTCATGGACATTAGTTTCAAGTAATAGGTACTAAAATGTGACCACAGAAAAGATAGTGTCAAAGACATCCAATCCCATAGCTTAAACTAATATAAAAATGCAATAAAAGTGCACCAAAAGAGTAAATTTAAAATGCTGCACATAACTCATCTAAATGTTCAAACTATTCAGTTATGCTAAAAAAATCTCATCTTTTCGGAAAAAGTTTCACTAAGCATAGACTAAATCAATGAATGAACCACTAGAATCGAACATTATTTTAGCAAAAATTACTAGCCAATTAGAAGCAGCAAACGTAATTCTTGCAAGAAACTAAAGAATTGGATCAAAATTCTAAAACAAACATAAAATTAAGTTCAATGGGCAGTGAAAATTAATCAAACATTACCGTCAATGAACCCGGAAAACTGATTCAAGAAAGCATTAATCTGGTCCTTGTAAAGATACCCAACTGTTCCAAATCCTCCAACGACACCAACCAACAAAAGACCAGCCAAGATGCTGCCTTTAACAGCAGTGTCACCACCACTCTCTACTGCCCCATCATCAGCCCCATCATCGGTATTATCCTCTTTTGGGCTCAAATTCAAGAGTCTCCTCAGTCCCTGAGGAGGTGGGGCAGTCTTTGGAACAAGCATTTGTTGCTCCTGCTGTTTGTTGGTTTCCCTCAATGAAGAACATGGCTTCAAGAAATGGGACTTTTTTGGTCTGAATTTAAAGTGAAATAACGAGGAAGAAGAAGAAAAAGATGATGATGAAGAAGGGTTTGAGAAGGAAAAATTAAAACTGGGCCTTTGCTGCAGGGGTGAGGAGAGGGTAAGGCAGAGTGGAGTTGGTGGTGGTGGTTGTAATTGTGGTGATCTAGAAATGGTGGGCATTTTAATTTGTTGAGAAATTGAAGGATAAAGAGGGAAGAAAGGGAGCTGAGCAGAGCTTTTAGCTCTCTTTTCCTTGTTCTGGTCACTGATTGGAGGCTAGGAAGATGTTAATTTTAGGCCATGAAGATTCGAAAGATTCTGCAGGATGTACTGTGCTTTTTAATTCATTATGTTCAAACCATTTAATTGGGGAATATTGTCAAAAGGTGTTAATTTTTTTCCCTTTGATAAATGAAGTTTGAAGACACATGAAAGTGTGTGTCTATTATTGCAGCACGTACGTCTTGTACTTCTTTTGTTGTTCTTTTAGCTTCTGAGAAATTTTTCTCCCCATTCTTTTGTACTGTAGCAGTTTTCAATTTCTTACTTTGCTCTGCATAGATATATTCGAGAAAGGTACAGCTTTGGTGAATAAACTTTGTCCGAACTTTTGCTAAATGGGGAGGATTCGTATCCCACAAAAAACTCTTGTAGCATATAAATTTCAATTAATCAGGTGAACGTAAAAGTCTTGCTACAAACATCATCCAAAATTATATTTTCAGATTGTGTTACTTGATAAATAAATGGCGACATTGGCAATCAAACTAGAGTTGCCACGTTTGGATTGCATTTTTCTGAATTTTTTTGTAAAAAAATTACTGTAACAATTTAATATATGTGATATTGGATTGCATTTTTCTGGATTTTTATGTAAAAAAATTACTGTAACGAATTAATATATGTGAGATAAAAAAATAATTGAGAAATATGTTCACGGAAATCGTAACAAGTTTTCTTTGGAAAATTGCTGTCCAAACAACTGGACACAACTGATTTAAAAAAGTACTGCTGAAGATGGAGACAAAACCAGTGAAGCTCCTCAATCCATGGATAGGCACCTCCTTGCAGAAGTGTACAGCAAATTAACATTGGTAGTAGTAGATTGTACACTTTCGAGTCCTTGAGAAAATGGCAGGAGAAGAATTAGTAAGATTTGATCTACTTCAAGTCAATATGGAGAAAATATAATCATGTTAACAGTGGAGGGATGAAAATCAGACATCTCATTAAACAATCAACCAAGATTCTATCTCAAGACTGCGTTTCATTACTAATAACTGCTATTCCAGTTGGAAAACTTACATCAGAAAATAGAAACATTTATCACTCATGAACTAATATTCTGACCGTAGAACTTCACTGGATTCTTAAGTCATCACTATCGATCCATGATGAAACTTCTAAAATCGCATAGAGCTTTGCTGCAACCAACCAAAATGCATATGGATGAGGTAATGCACCATGTGGTGGTCAGTTGTAACAAATTTTGATACTTTGAAGAAACAATATATTAGAGTACAAAAGCAAATGTCAGCGTCCTCATGACTGCTATGCATTATGCAATTCATTTCTTTCTCCATGTGGAGTAGATGAAAATGTCGGGCTTCTCCTTAGTATAGGCAAATCAAACTGTGGCTTCTTCATACAAGATGTAATTCTTTGCACTAGACCATTCAGTTTTAACTTCAGAGCTTCAGGTGTAAATAGGTCTGGCTTCTCAAGAAGTTGCAGAGCGGATGTTGCAGTGAGGTTGATCTGCAAGAGATCAGAAATATCCCAATGAGCAACTACATTGGTGCAAACTTATCACTCTAACGATTTAAATCATCACAGACATCAAAGAAAATGCATCAATAACAGAAGCCAAGTAATTCATATTTCCAGACTCAAATAACACTAGAGAAAGCAGGTTCAGCAATGCATCAAGAAAACAATTATCAGCTTGACACTCTAAACCAATCACAAATCTAATGATGTATAATAACCAAGAAAACACAAAGAAACTACTAGCAAGACTCAAGATGAAGCCCAAAGCATACTGTAATGCCGATTCGATGTGTCACAGAGGTTACCATGTTTGTAAAACGCAGCACAAAAATGTACCAAAATGAACATGTCATACCTCAAGGAGAAAATTAAATGGAAAAACAATGTTGGAGTAGTTCAAACCTAAGCCGCTGCAAAGGCATAGACAAGTAACCATGTTCATGATTGCTGTGACAGAAATGAATCTCAACGCCCGAACATGCTGGATGTACGAGTTATACTTTCACAGTTAGTTGAGAAGTAGCCATGGGTTGTTCCTACAAACCAAATCGTCCTTACTGAAAACATGCTATGAAGTCTAATCTCTCTTACATTAGGGAGGCTCCCCTATCAAGAACCTGTAGTTTTATATTCAATTGCTGATTCTAGCATCCACGGCTAGTCTAAAAGAAATTAGGTATAATTCAAAACCAAGTGCTGGTAGAAAATCCCCTTTTTCTACTTCTAATCCAAGATATGTAAGAAAATCGTATTATCAGTTTTCTTTCAATCCATACAGCTAAGGCTGTCACTTAAAATTAGATTTGTTCGGTGTAATCATCCATTCCAGCATGAATTTACCATGTCAATCATTAGGTATAGGTTGTGAAGTAAAGGCTCAAAAATTGCTACATCATTCAACATGCAATAGTCAGTCAAATTAAAATAGCTAGGCACATTTGTTAAAACAAGATAACATGCCACACATAAAAGACGATTTCAAAGGAGCCAACTTCCAAAGATTTTTTGTTTAAAACGTGAATAAGAATGTTCAATATCTCTACAAACACAGCTATCTCATGCAGTAGAAAATGAAGAATGTATACCAACTGCAATTACCAAAAAAAATGTTAAGCTGAACAACGAATGTCAGTACAATGCTAATTAGGTGCACTATCATTACTATACAATTTCTCAATAAACTATCAAAAACATACATATAACCCCATTCCCCTTCCGGCCGCCTGCCTCCCCCCCCCCCCCCCCCCAAAAAAAAAAAGCCATGAATTACTAATAATGAGGAAAAACCCAGATGAGTTTATAACAATATAACTATAAATTCAGAATAAATGTGTAAAAAGATACGTGGGCTAGTAATTTATCTGTCATGTACCGCATGAGAAGCAGAATTTATGAAGGTTTGAGTGAGAGGCAAGATGCAGAACATTCCACGGGCACCCGATAAAGCTTCTTCCTGTGGGTCTTTCCAAACATCATACCTGAAACAAGCATTTTACAGGAACCCCATACCTTATGATTCATATCCAATCAAACAAACATAAACAAAATGAATCAAAAGTAAAAGGGTAAAGTCCTAGACCTAGTTGTAGTACTAATAAGTACTCCAGAAAGTATAGATGAGTCAAGAGTCATCGCCGACGACTTACACCAGACCGTAGCGCCGGTCGAACCATAGGCATTTGTTAGGATTGTTATTGTTTTGTGTCTGCGAATTGCTGGAATTTAGGCGACCCCTATCCATCTTTCTCCTCCTCAGTCTCAGTCTCAGTCTCGTTTCAGTTACAGACTTACAGTACGGTTTTTTATTGTTTATTTATTTATTTGGCGAAAAATAATACTCAAAAGACCCCTTTTTTGTGTTACCCGATTCAGGGTCCGCGTGTCAAGTGTCAACCCGCTTTCAACTTTCATTTCGCCGAAACGGCGTCGTGTCATTCCACTTTGATTTCAACCGACGGCGTTTTAGCCGGTCTACTGCTTTTATTTTTTTTTTTAAGTTCCCCGGGATAAATCATCGTGCTTTTTTCTTTTTCTTTTTTTTTTTTGTTCCATTTCTCGTGGGTATAAATACGAAATTTGAAAAAGGAGTTGAGGAGGGAAGGAGAGAACTCGCACTGTCAGATAAACGCTAGGCTAGAAGACGATGATGATGAAGAGGCAAGCCGGTGCCGGCGCCGGAGTCGGACGGTATAGAGGAGAATCAACTGCGTCACTTTCTAATTCTTCGATCGCCTTCTCCAATTCAGGTTCTTCGCGATTTCGTGTTATGCGATTTTTATGTTTGTTTTTTGTTTTTCTTTTCAATTTCTCGCATTATTATTGTTTGTAGTGTATGTTATTATCTAGTTTAATTTAATTAGTTTTCTCTACTATATACTTAGAAAACCAATTCAGCTGACATTTGTGTAATTATTTATATTGTTAGATCGATAAAAACAAAAAAGGCGAGATTTGGTTCTTCTTTTTGTGAGTTTTCAGATTTGAAGTTTATTATTTCATGTACCTGACCTTTTTCATTTCCTTCCATTTTTCAGTTTATGTACTGGAAAAAGAAAATTTCAATATGCCGACATATATTCCCGTATTTGTTTTTGATTTAAAATTTTATTCCTAATGTACTTGAAATGCTATTTCGTCTTAGAAAATTGAAACTGGTCACTATGATGTATAATTTGATGTGATCATTTGGCTAAAGAATAGATTTGGATTAAATTGGTGCAGCAGACTTCTAAGGAGACTTCTGCTTATGTTTCATAATATTAAATTCTGTTTGTGATTCCCGATACTATTTGACCAGGATATTCTTTTGACTTCGACATTTATTTTTGACTAAGTTGCATTTCAGCTAAGGTTATTCTGTTCTGCTCATCGAGCATCTCTTTATATGTAAAATGTTGAGAACGTTTAAAACATAGTACAACTACAATTGGAGTAGTTTATTTACTTGGCACTTGGAAAATTGAGATTTTGCTGCCTTTTTTGGGAAAAGGAATCATTGCCAATCAAGACCTGTGTTTAGCTTTTATGTCAATTAGAAAGTTTTGTGCTTTATCTTCTCCAAGTCCTAAATCCTAGTGATTGTTTTTAGGTGGTTGTTTTCTTTCCAGCTAATAGTGAAACTTGGTAATCAATCGTCAACACATTTATTCCTTGACATATTTGTCTGCTGTTGAATTGACATTGACTTTGTACTGTTGTTAATGATTTTTGCTTGTGTTGATGCATTATGCACTTGATTGACATGCTTAAAAGCCTCCATGAGTTATCCGGCTTGTTTTTATATTTGTTGCTTTATACAGTCACAGTGTCATTAATTAACACAGTAAATTGTTTTTATATTTGTGGCTTTATACAGTCAGTGTCATTAATGAACACAGTAAATTGGTTTCCGGTTTTATATCCCTAATTACTTAAAAGACTTTTCAGGATTTAAGTCACTGCACTAATCTTTTTCTTTTTTTCTTAAAAGGTTACTCCTAAATTGTCTTCTTTCAGCAAGAAGAATGTATCTGACCATTAATAAGACTTGGTTACCATAAGTATGATTTATTGATGAAAAGTTCTTCTCTAAAGCATACCAGGTTAAAGAAAATCTGAAAGACCATTCTATCTAGATACCTCTATGCTGCATTAAACTTCTCATGCTTTTGGAACTTGCTTGTAGTACTAGTCCTCTTTTATTTCACGAAAGTTGCTCCCCCAGAAACTGCTCTCTAAAGAATAAGGATTTGATGTGGAGTTATGTATATAACTATTGTAGGGATAGAGTATAGAATAGATCAGTTTACCAAAAAGAATGAGTTGGTACATTTTTTCAGATACTAACTATGCCTTTTCTATATATCATCCTTTGCGGCCAATATGATCTGTAGCCATAGAATGTTAATTATGTAAATCTAATGTAGGAACTTTAATGTGCCTGGATGGTTGAGACTGAAACTAAAAGAAGAGATACACTAGAATGCCTGAATTTAGATCTTTGAGGCTGCCACCTGAATCATACTTTGCCAATTTTAAGCTTCTTGGAGTGGTTGATTAGTCTTGATTTCAACGTTCTGCAGGTAGCAGTGGAGTTTGTATGATGAGCACTGCATGGCGAGATGAACAACAGCCATCCTTCATCAACTTCATCTCATGTTTCCTCAGTGCAAATTCTTTCCGTCTGAACATTGTGCCAATTGCTCCAGTTATTACCCATTTTGTCTGATTTTTTATTTCTAGAGTTGATTCCATGCAGTTTCTGAAATGCCTTGCTTGCAGGATTTCATTTTCAACTGTGGAGGTTTGTCCATAGCTTTCATTTTTGTGACTAACTGGGATTCTAACTTAACTGCATCGGTGTTTACAAGGTCAGTCTTTTGCTAATTCTATTCAAAGTTTCTGTTAATGTATCTAAACAGGTATCATTTGTTTTACACAGAGTTCAGAAATTGAAAGAACAGTTTGCTCACTTGTATGTGGTTGTCAATCTACCAACAGAGGAGCAGAATGATTCTTTTGTTCGCTCTTATTTCAAGTGAGCTTCTTCCCTTTTGCCATCTGAACTGCATTTGCCATAAAATGGCCCTGTACAAAATGAAGGACTTGGTATTTGTTTGGATGTTGTTGAAGATCCGATATGGAGTTTGGCAGGCCAACATTTATGCCAGTACTGGACACAGAGATGGGATTTGAGAAGATTTTGAAGATTGCACTTGCTCGCGGGAGTAAGACTCTTAGTTAATGCAGCTGATAAATTGTAATTGGTTAGTTTATTTTGACTTTAGCAATTCTCAATGCAGTTGCTAAGCGACAAGATGCTATATCAAAACTAAAGGCAGATGTAAGTGGAGATATAGTTTACCGTTTTCTTGGTGCACTTCTTTGCATTAGATGCGTAGCCAATTCCTTTTTCCATGCTTTCAGCGAGAAAGATCAGTGCAAACAATGGATGCGTATCTCAGAGTGGTCACCTCCATTCCAGGCATTGATAGTCATGATGCAAATGCGGTACTAAAACTTCCTACCAATTACATTCTTAGCTTTCATTTTTCCTTCTATTACAGCCTTCCCCTTCCCTATGTATTGGTGGAAAGAGACAAAAAGGGTAGGGTTGAGAAGAGTCAATTTGTTAAGTCCTTCTGCAGTTGAAGATCCAGATGATTTCTTTTGCATATAGAAATTTGCATACATGTATAATGGCTGTACCATCTCAACTATCTTAAGCATACCTCTGGTTATGGCGGAACTTGACTCATCCAGTGAGGCATGGGAACCATTCCTCTTGTTGAGCAATATATTTCTGTAAATTCTCTACATGTTCTTGGTCATATATTATTCATGGGCTGAGTTATCTTCTACTTTTGGATTTTTTTTTTTTCTTTGGTGGGAGAACTTTAATTATTCTTATGCTATTATTAAGAAACTTTTCAAACAACAAAAAATGATTTATTCATTCATTACTGCCGCATGGAGTATGAAACTGCACATCTTGTCCGAAGACTGCGGTGTGAAATTTGGCAATATTTCTTTGTTCCAATTTGAACCACAAAATCTGCTCTAATGTTTAGAGACATTTATATTCTTATATCTGCAAAATAGTAACAAAGGATGACGAATATCCTCTGCAGCTAAATCAAGCTGTTGGTTCAATTGAAGCAATTGCAAAAGCATCAAAGGAGTACATTTTGGAATATACTGATCTTTCTGCGGAGAAAGCTGAGACGATTACAAGGTTTTTCAGAGATCAAAGCTATTATCTTGGTCCCAAAATCAGTTAGATTCATCTCAGAAGTTCAACTTTACTTTGGATATCCCTTGAGGCAAATTTGTCGTGTCAGAGATTAGTTTAAGTTCTACTCGTATATAAGTATGCTTAAAAAGGAACTATAGCACAGCGACTGTCCTGAAAAAGGGTTTTATTCTCTGTTCAATTCACGGTCATCATGCCTGGTGTTATCTGATGTTTGCTGTATAAATACAAGTCGTTGCATTTGTTGCTTTAAATTTGCATGTAAAAAACGTTGGAATGGGGGCTTTGGTTGGCTTGAATTGTCATTTACTAATCGCATGATGAAAATTAATGTACGTCGGCATGATGCTTTCCTGTTCTGGGCTTAACATCTTGTAGTACGAAGTAATTTTGTCTTCGTTCCGTTCTTGATTTCCCATGGTTAAATTTGCTGAGGATTATGTGGCTGTGCCGTACGTGCCCAAGTACAGCTGAGTCGGCAATAGCCTTGACTGCATCCATGTCTCTCTCAAATTTGCTCAACTTTTTCAACCTTAGCCTCCCACAAGATTGATTTGAAAGTCCTGCCACGAAAATACAATTACAAAACAAAATGAAGAAATATCCTCTTGAAATTTGCTACGAAATAGCTTCCTTCTGGAACTTGTACCTCTTCTAACTAGAGCGATACACATAGCAGGAGTCACAAAAAGCGTTACAAACGACTACAATAGTGCTCAGTGCCAAGAGCACAAAACAAATCACGGAAGGCTAAGCAAAAAGATTATGCATGAACCAACAGACACATCTCAGCCAGCCTTGTATCTACTACAACCACATTTAGGGGTAACAGAGAAGAAAATTTAAAAGCTCAGGGAGACAAAATTTGCTATACTAGTTTCGAAGTTGACTAACACTATGATGGAGCACCAAGATACGATGCAAGTCGCAGTATATCGCTGAATACTCCAGCTGCTGTCACTTCTGCTCCAGCACCTGGGCCGCGGACAATTAGTGGTTGCTTCTTATACCTTTCAGTTGTGAACGCGATGATGTTATCAGATCCTGAAAGCTGTGC